TGAAGTTCGTGCGTTACACGTAAACCTCACTTGCATTGACTGTCAAACCGGTTTCACATTCTGTGTATTTTGATTGGAATTTTATAATACACAGATAGATTAGAGAGACAATAAATCAATGATGAATCAATACAATTTTTCAAATTTGGCTCTGATAATTTGATAAATATCATTTGTAAAATTTGTGCAAAATAAGATTTCAACAAGGAACATATCATATACGTTAAAAATAAGATTTTGCTAAAATTTAGTTACTTTACAAAAATAATACGAGTCTTTTACGTCTTTCGTGTGTTTACGCCGATCTTTTTCACTGGCTACCATTGCATGTTACCGTTGAATTGACGTTTGTAGTTGCACTATGGATGAAATTACGTAAGGTAACATTTGCATTCAAGCATTTATGACAATTCCGAATAGTATGTCGCGCGTTTGAAAAGCGCCCTTATTTTGAGAAAATGCTTGTTACCAAAGTCGACGACGAGTACGTCGGCGCTCAGAATCGATCGCTACGTCGGTAATAAGGCGCTCGTACAGAAGGGACCCCCGTTTCAAACGTAACTTACCGGCAGGGTTGCTATGCTTTTTCCGATAACTACCAACCCCCTCTGTAATGACGCTGTCTGTCATGGAACTGTAATTTTAGCTTTTTTGGGCTTTCACAGTTTTTGAAGAAAAAAATACATAAGAAATTGTTTAAATTACCAAATGTGTATAAGAATTATAAAAATTAACTTTCCAAGGGGATTGACAATTTCTAATGAAACAATCAGTAGAACCTCTAAATATAAATTTTTTAAGATTTTTCATTCTGTCACTTGTTTACAGCATACAAATAAAAAAACTCTGACCTTACTTGAATGGAAAGAACATTAATAAGCAAAGCAGAAGTAAAGTCATAGAGAATCTTCGTGCCTAGACTCACTAAATATTTCAAAAACAACTTGCTACACTCTAAGAATACTCATTTTGTAAAGCGCGTACAGTCAAAACAATCTAGCCAATGGGCTGGATCGAAAGCAATACAATTAGAACTAACTTCAGTTATAAAAATGATGCTTTTTCAATCGTACAAATTCCAAACTCGCAGTATCCTCACGCGATGTTATAAATTCGTACATTTGTACAGTGTAAACCAGGCTTGTGTCATGGTACAATTTGACGTTCTCGCGAATGGCGCAGGCGCTCTGCTATAGGCTAGCAGAGAGGTTATGGTTGATCCTCGAGGTTTTGTAGGAGTGGAAGTGAAGGCCGCGCCACGCCTGGCTTATTTCAGATTTAGCTGAGACTCAAACCTGAGCGTTGGTCGTTACCGTTAGCGGAATGGACCAGTCAACCAGCTATACCTTCTACGACCTATTTCAATGACCGCCATACAGATGCCGCTGCGATAATGATTGGACCCTGGTGGCGATACTTGTGCAACTCGCAGATCCTGCGCCAATGGTTAGTCTAAAGAGTTTTTGCCGTTATTGGTATCGTTTTGTATACGCAGAGAGAATATGTTTAAACAACCTTTGCACGTAAGCGGTTACTTGAAGGAGTAAGCATGACCACGATAAGGCGAATATGTAGGAAACTGCCCTACGATCTCGGGGTTCGTGTAAATAAACATTTCTACTTTATACATTGGCGTGCCATGCAGCCGTGAGTTTTATTTTTACTTTTAGTGCACAGTACTCTTGCATGTTTCAAGATATCTGTGTTGCACACGGGAATGAGCTTCAATTCTGAGAGTTCACAAGGGTAGACATCGTATGGTTGTTTATCGCAGACCGAAAATTATGGAATTTTACGTTCGAGTGAGTATCTACACGACTTATTATATTCACCTAATGAACGTGGTAACGACGGTTGATCATAATTATAAGATTATCATTTTTTCAATAACTTCATATAAATAAATTACATTTTAGTTGCAATCTTAGCCCGATTAGATGATAATCATGAGACTACTAGTTATCTCGTGTATCCAACAATGTAATTCGGAACCGCGGTCGCCAAATTGCCACAGTTCTATTTTAGCTCGTCGTAAAGCTACAAAGCACGCTTGAAATAGTAGCCACCTGTTGACAAGATACATTAACCTATTTGCTTCTTTTGTCATAAAGGTATCCAGTTGACGATCTTCAAAGCATTCTTTTGACAAGATTATTTGTCGATTGTCTTTTATTTCCAAAGTTTTTATTTTTCTTCCATTTTTGATTTTTTTTACTCTTACCTGATAACTATGTATATTAGTCAGTTTTCAACATTGGAGCTAGTATTACCGTGTGCACTCAGACAGATTTCATTAAATCTCATTTCACGTTCATGAATTTAGTTGCATTGCCATAAAAAGTACTCGAGGTAAAGTAAGGTCTTCTTCCAGAATGCTACGAAATGAAGGCTCAATTTTATGCTTTCCCGGTGACATTACTGGAAATCATATTTGCGCCAATATCTATACGCGTGCAGACGTACCAACGTATATCTATGATCCTTGAAGAGATGCCAGAAGTCGGTTTGGCGCACTCCTAGCATGCAGGGTGCCGTCGCGCTCTCGTAAAGAGACTTTGAAGGAAGGAGAGACCGTACCGTAAAACTTGGGGCCCTTCCTACCCGTTTCCATGTGGCGTTCGGATAAACGAGACGTGGGCGGCCACTGTCGCGACATTGTGGTTAAAATGTTTCATGGATGACACGGCGTCGCACGGAGTAAAAGACGTCGGCCGCTGAGTCCTTCGCTTCGTTCTAGAGACCCGAGTGGATTTGCTACTTGGACGCTTATTTATTTTTGTCTGAGTTCGTTTCGTTCTCCCTATCATCGCATAGCGAAGGAACTAACCAAACCTGGCAAGAATATGGGAAATACGTCGACTGCTTACCTAATGAGGATTTCTATCAGAGTGATGGTACTCCGTTACCTTTTTTCTTATTCTACACCGACCCTTGTAGTTGATTAATAAAAGGAATACCCATCGCCTTAGTATCAGCTGGGACCAACGTTTTAGGAGATTTGATTGGGGTTAACTCTGAATAAATTGGATCTTTGTTATTATGTGCTGGGGAATACACACTGTCTGAGTCGCCGTTAGAATATTTGCTATAGTTACGGTAGTCCAATTTTACAGGTTGGTTAGTACAACTTCAGAATAATAGAATTGCGGGTATCGCTACGCCTATGGGGTACTTTGGGAATTAGGGTGTCCACAGCCAGCATCGTGTAATAGTGGTGTCATGGGCCCCATGGGATTCGGCGTCCATATTTGGTAGGGTAGCCATGATGTTGTTGGGCCGGGCTTCTTACCTAGGAAGATGCGTTATTGTCATTTGTCAAAGACCATTGGTCACTGTCCGACTCCGAGTATCCACGGCCATTGACATACCGGGCAGGCCCAATATACTTGGTATGCTCTATCGGTCCCATTATTACGGTTTATCCCCACTATATTAATATTTAGCGGCTATCTAACTCACTTTACCAAATGTTACTTCACTGTAAAATTTACTGTGAAATTCGAGACAAATGTCTTTGCTAGGTATAGTTCGATACGTCAATTGCGCTAGACGACAAGTCCCGGTAGTTCCATATTCCTATATGAAAAATTTATTCATCACGCGCACGTGACAATTTCTTCTCAAAGTATATCTTGAGTGTACATAGATATTTTTGAAAAAAAAAAAATAGTGACAGTGTTGCAAAGATTCTGTAAATAATCAGAAAACTTGCGTGACTCGATAAAAGAGTGAAACTGTTATCGCTCTTAAGCGTTATCCTATTTTAGGTATCAGGTTTGTTAATAAGTAATAAGCCAAGTGTAATAACTTAATTTTTTCGAATTTCAGTTTTATATTATTTTTCAAAAATTTCACCTATATACCCATATAGATTGTTTTCATCCAATATTTTCTTATCCTAACTAACATGGATCCAGTGTCATACCGGATGAGCCAATAGCATTCCTTGAAATAGAAGCGGAACGTTTAAATCACGTTTTACGAGAAACGAAATGCTCAGCGTCGCATGAAACGCTGCCGCATCGTGACAATTTACAAGGCATTACTTTTACGACACAAGGACAAAGTGTTTCTGGTGTGATAAGTGGACGAACACCAATAGTTGTACCTACACGTACCTACAGACGAACAGACAGAGGGACGAACACTGATTTAGTTCATGGTGAACTATGGCCGTATGGTTTCTTAGCGAGGCTATATTATACTACGTCGTAAACCACGAGCATTACTCTATTACGGGCTGTCTGTCAGATACCTATTACTAATTATCAGACAGAAACACGTGTATTGACAACAATCTCAATGACTTGCATTCGTCCCGACGCGAACAGGCCTATTGCATATTGATTGATCATCGGAAAATTTTTTTCTCGTCATAAAATCCATTTCGGTTTAATGTATCTTCGAGAATTTTATAGACTTATTACTGTAACTGAGATGTCATTTCATCTTGTGGAAATCACTGACAACTTGATAGTGCTTTTAGTAGGGTTGTAAATCATTGTTATTATTTTACGATGGAACGCCACTTGCACCTGTCTGCTAATTGTTAGGTTAGGTTGGGATTCGATTATTGAAAACTTATTTAAGCGGTTTGAGTTTCTACTTAAGGTTTGTTTTTTTAATTGATGCTGTACGCGCTGTAGTGTAAAAAAAAAGAGATTGCAATAAAAATTTTGGTGGATTTGGCTAGTATTGACTTAGTACTGACTTACTTATTATATTTTTTTTTTATTTTGGTATTACGGGTTTTTTAATTATACAGTTAAACTGCTATTTTTCACCTTGGTGTTACTACTAACTACGAGATTGAGTTTAGTAGCTTCTTCATTTTTATATTGCTGGTTGTAAAACGCGATTATTGCTTTACGGCCAGCCGTCTGTCGCGTGTCTGTTTAATGGTATGCTGTGGAAATATTTATTGGGGACTTTTGGTTAATCTAGGGAGATTTCTTTATTAAGTGAATAGAGCATTGGGATAGGTTATTATTGTCGTGAAAATTTATTTTTTACAATTCTCAATTGTTTTTTATTATTTTTTTAAGTCTGTATAAATATTGTTTTATTTGCGGTATATCGTCCATTAAGTTAATTTTTGTCTTGTAATGTTGAAAGTTTCAACGGGTGTTGAAGTTCCTTAGGCGATTTCTCTGCGGGTGTCTTGCAATACCGTCGGCTCCATAGATTCACTGAAATGAAAGATAGGAATTTATGTACAATTCAATTGAATACGACAAGTAATAATTATAGTCAATGCTTCTTAAAGCATTTTCTTTATAGTAACCGCAGTTAAGTAAACTGTAGCGTAATTTACATTTTATCCGTACTGGTTGCACTAATTTATATGTTAAATTATTAAAAATTCTTCATGAAAGTTTATGACGCATCATAGATATATGGGACCTGGTAAATTTTTATTTTTTATTTCTCTATTCTCTTTTCTATTCTCTCGTGTCAAAAAACATTGAATCTACGTAATATGATGTAAAGACGTGTTCATATGTAGCGTTTACTTTGTAGCCGTGACTCATAAACATTTTAGCTCGTATAGCCTATAGTCTTTTGTACTTTGTAATTTGTAACTGGATGTCTGGTCACGGATAACAAAATGTTAAGAAAGTCAATGGGGCGAGAAAACCTTTAAAAAAAGACGAAATGGAGTTCTAACAACTTAATGATGTGAGCCGCAACATGTGACGGAACGTTTCATATTTTTTGAAGAAAACATAAGAAATGACAGGAAAAATAGGAATGGAGTAAAGAAAAAGGAAATACAAAAATCGTCTGAAAACCGTTTCATACTTAGAACGTGCCGACGTCTTTTGTAACGCGTGGAAGTTTTGAGTTACGATGGGTCGTGTGACGCTTACATACAAATTTTCATAACGACGACTATGTATCGTTTTTTTGAACACCCATAAATTTTTCATTATACGGCTCCCAATTTTTGTATAAATTTCCTAAAATTCTGGTAGCGTTGAAATTTCATTAAAATAGCTTTAATATCGAATATGACATTTATACAAGTATATAATGAATTTCTAGTGATTTTCATTAATTCAAAAATATGGTATCTAAAAATCAGAATAATCAAACGATCATGTGTGATTTTCATATATTTTATATATTTTCCTTACGTTCGTTCGTACGAGCATTTATACGCTTTGACGTTACGTTAAAAACAAAAGGCTTCTCACGTACAATGACCACGTAGGAATTTTCGTATTTGACCAAGATCACGTTTGGATAAAATGGCAGCACGAACTCCCTGCTGACGTCGATATCCCCTCGTAGAGACCAGAACACAGTTAGCCACTACAGTATCGTACATATATCTACGTTACCCGTTTGACATCCTACGTTCATTACACGTTGCCCACGTATACGCAAGAAAGATGCCACCCTATGGATGCCATTATCATTATGGACCAAAACAAAAAAGAACCACGGCAAGTAACACGTGATTCCACATCACTATCGCAAAGATATGTCTTCTATGCTATCAAATCATTTTTGACAAAAAAAATTTTTTATCATCCCCACGATATTACGAGAAAATTATTATTTTATTGATATATTTAATCTAATTAAAGAATCATCACTCATATGACTCGCACACACGTGATAACCTGGCTCAAATAGAAAAAAAAAATTTGTTTGTCATCTCCATGAGATTCGAGAACATTTCTACGGGCCAAAAACACTGCATCTCCGAAAATATATCTAAGCGTGTATAGGGATTGATATTACCGACCCAACTGTACCAATCTTTCCTCCCATATATGGTATACCTACTTTCATATATACGTGGGATATGTGATACGGTTTCGAAGTACCTTCAACGGGTAAAGGTACACCTATGTGGCCACTACAGCTGGGTACCAATATCGCTCCATATTTCCCGTGGGATGCAAGAGTGGATTTCAGACGTGCAAGCCCAAGAAGATGGCAGAAAATATGAAGCCAAGTCGGCTTCCATTTTGCGCAATGCTACTCCGAGCTGCGGATGTGGCGCCTGCAGTGATTAGACGTAAGTCTCCACGGTTCCCATCTGTCCCTCGTTGGCGTCACGGTTGCGCGGATTCGGAATGCTTTCAACTCTGTTTTATGTCCGCCATTTTCTTACCCCCACTCTTCCTTGTGTCACTACCCTGACGGTACGATCCAGTAGCTACGGTACTTTACTCTCTTGTTGTCCCAGGCCGATTTACATAGAGAGTTTAATGGCATCGTCTCGTGATGTTATCATTGGGATTGGAGAATTTCTGTAAAAAAAAAAAAAAAAAAATAGTGGATTAATTCAATGCAGATATGTAAATGTATATGTAATATGCGCATCGGATAAGATTGAAGTCACTGACTTGTAAACATACACTGACAACATAGCGTGACGTAACGAAGTAACGTAGTAACGTATTAGCAACGCGAGTTATCGAATTTTCTCCTCGAAGCTATGTATATGCTTTATATAGGTTCGTGTCGTCAGCTATGTTGTGCTAGAGTATATTTAATTTAGACTTTATTATTCATATTATTTTAATATGCGTTTACACGAGGCACAGATTGCTACCGGGATTGATTTCATGAATAAGTGCGTTGATGACTCCGGGTTTACGACAAGATCAATTTTTTAATTTGGTACAAAGTCACTAATTTGTCAGTTCTCAGTTTAGAGTCAAGGGATATTCTCGCATAGAAAAAATAATATATCATCGTTGATTTGTTTTTTAAAATTTTTGTAAGACCTGTTTGTTTTTATATGCTCATTAAAACCATGATCTTGTCAACTGTCAATTGTATCGCCGGTATGAAAATTAGGTTGAAGTGTCTAAACGATGGGTTTAAGTTAATAAAGGTCGTAAAACGAGGAGATGATTTAGGATAGTTCACTATCTTGAGGTCGGTAGGTCATCATGATTTGGGGTCATAAAAGAAGACTGTAGGTGGATATAGTAGCAGTACGTTAGTAGCATATGGTACTCAATGTTGGTATACACATATAGTCAGTCATCTAGCGCATATAACTAATCAGAGTGCAGTAAGTCCCTAACAAGATTTACCTCCACGCTTGATAAAATTTAATTAAATTGCATTTTACATTCTGATAGGAAATTACTTTTCTGTCCGGCATAGACGAAGCTGTACGAGATGACTGCAGTTTAAGTGGCTGTGTTATTGGTATCGGTGAACGATTGTATCAGACACCTATGCAAAGCGCTGGTGGTTCGTTTTCTTATCACCGAAGGGAACCATGCTGGTTATTACTTCTATGTTTTGCAGGCAGAGACTGGGGTGTATAACGAAGTATCGTTAAATAGAGGCTGTTATCAGTCACCTGTATTTCATCGAATTAAGCACAGTGAAGTAATAATAAATATACCAGTGATACCTCGAATAATATTGGGATTATTTTAATAATTAAACTAATGATAACGGTATATAATATTATGAATCATTTTTTTTAAACATATCTCATTTTAATAAATAACAAAGTCAATAAAACATATTATGATTATTGTGAATCATTGATATCAGTGATACGGCTATTGGATGAGTGAAGTTATCTCGAACAGGATATATTAGTGTAACTATAGGTAGTGTGATCCAGATACCAAGGTACTGGACCAATGCGCTCTTGAGGATTAATCGTCATTGTGTATATCGGTTACTATACGATTGTTTACTTAATACACTTTTGCTCACAATGGACACTTTCCATGCTTTATTTGTCCTACGAGTAATACGTGGCAGGTTTCTCAATGCTCGGTGGGGATAGCGTATTTCGTAGCGGAGAAAAATAAAGAAAAAAATACTTCAGCGATTATCCGATAAGCGACGTAAAAGTCTATAACTGGCGTATCTGGTGGCAATAAAGTTCACATGCAGAATAGCTCGGTAACAGTACGTATAAGAGGTGCTGCACGGTAACGAGGTGGTGCAGTATTCAATCCAAGGAGCGTTCAAGAAGGTTCCGGAAAAGCGTCCATTAACGCTACAAGTCGTCATTATCGTACCCGAAGTGATGAGATACGTTTCCACGCGTAGCGAAGGGTAAGCGATTTTGTTTTTTTCGTGAACAGTGACATAACCTCAGTGACGGTCCTGAAATTTTTCTTTACGTACGTTTCTCTTCTTTTGGTGTCCTTTTTTCCCCACCATTTTTTCTCTTTCCTGTCGCGACAGAAGGATCCACGAACTAACCTAACGGTATCGAATTGTCATCTGGTGAAAAGGAGCGCGACAGGATTCTCTTAGGCAGGTATCTCTCGGATGGGTTTCACTGATTTTTTCTACAATTTTTTTTTTCTTATTCTCTACCAAAACCCACCACCGTATTCTTCACGGTCTTATGGAAATGGTAATGGTCGACGTCTGACTATCCTTCTGTAGGTCTTTGGTCGCTCCCTTTTTTTTTTGTGTTACGTACCTTTTTTTTCTCTGAACTGTATATATAGAACATGAGTCATTGGAACGGTATCCATATATACTAACTCTCCAGTTATTCCATATCATGAAGTGGAAGTTACTTAACTCTAGCTTAAGCATCATTCGTAACAACATTGTTCTTGTTGTTGTATCAAACAACACATAACTTGCGTCCCATACTCCTGTAAACATATACTAGGTACCACTAGGCTTGTTTTGAGGTACAATAAGTCTCAAGTTTGGTATTTTGACAATGGAACCTACCCTATACTACTATCTGAAGCTGACTTCCACTTGAAGGTATCACGAAAATTATCAGGACCTCCCGGGATCGCATAGATACGTTGTATCTGGTCCGTCCTAAAATTGTGACAGGAAACTATAGACAAGCAAGTTTACGGAGACGACGTTAGGAGATAATGGGGTCGTGTCTTTTGTTAGGTTAACGTAGTGACATAGACTACGTAGAGAGATAGTTTATAAGCCGCGTTTCTATGTGGCGACCGTGAGTCTCGATTCTATAATAATGCCTGTAATGAAGGTGATAGAGGGATGACATCGGTGAGACACGCTACGTATCGTATGGATCGGGTTAATACGGACCTAGGGAATGCTGGATTTGATCCTGGGTAGGCTGCTTCATCTCTTGTGATGCGATTTCATCTCGGTACCGAAGCCATCTTGTATATATACGTATAGAAAGTGAGCGGAGGCTGCTATTTCCCAGTGAGAAACTAGTTATATAGGTACGTATACTGATTCCATCTGTTGGCTCCATCATGGTCCGCCATCTCCTTTTTCGATGAAGATTCGACCCGTGAGCTTCGTATGAAGACATTTGGGAAATGCAAGGTGCGATAAGGATATATACATATGTATCGAATCTTGGTTGTCATATGTGACGTAAGGATGCGAACTGATTTGGTATTCATTTTATATTAAAGTTTCAAAATATATTTGATACAGGATTTAGTTGAAGGTGATATTTTTTTTTGCAGATATTTTTTTAGCCAAGTACATATTTTTGATTTTCTAATTATTTTTCGGATTTACATAAATTTTCATTAGAATCACTGTGATCAGTATGGTGTTTGGGATATATGATATTATGGTAGATTTTTTATGTGCCTGGATATATGCTTGATTCACAAATCTACCTTGTTGTACTGTAATACGATGAGATTATATACATCCTTGTTTTACTTGATTATGCCAATTTATTTTCATGCTCGCATAACTGCTCGCCGCGTGCAGCAATGTGGCTCGACATAATGGTGACGTAGGGTTTGCGAAATTCCTCTGTGTTATATACTGCTGCACTTCTGTTATTAATGTACTTCCAGATAAAAATAGGATCCAGGGTAAATGCATCATTCGTATGTTTATCATGGTATGACTCAGCGAATGCACACGATCGTACATAAAATATACTTTTTCGTTCAATTTTACAAAAATAATTTTTGCCTCGAATTTGTCTATTTCTTAAACATCTTTTTTAGCTGTCACTCGTATAATTAATTGCGCAACAACGTAAATACGATTAATAACTTTCAATTGTTATGACCGCTACATAATATTATGTACAGCAGGCAACGCAAGTATCAGATATTAAATGTCCTGACATACGGTTAACATGGCGCGTATAGCAGGTAAAATAGTAATATACGGAGTAAAGGCTAAAGAGTTTCTTCTAGGGGTAAGCTCATTAGACCAGAGAGTTATGTAACTTTGGACAGGTGTCTGTAGGATTCTTACATAGACAGGTTATCTAGTATATACCACATGTTATTTCAGCGACATGTAAATGCTAATTAGCTCTTTGCACTATTCCGGGTACTGCATACCGCAATCATAAAGAAATTCCCATAAACATAACAATCCCGACATTTTTATTTTGGGATGTTACGCATTCCCAACACCTTGCATATTTCAGTCGCTTTAAAAATGATTCGCAATTAACGTACAATTGCCAAAAGGTGAAGCAGCACCCTTATACGTAGGAATCCTCCTTTACTATGACATATTCCAGTAGGATCATTACTCCTCCTTCTGAACCTTAAAGAACATAAAAAAAAAGATTAGGGTCACAGACGTTCTCATAGCTCTAAATGTATCCGAGAGTATCTGCTTGTGAGAATATCTATATACTGTGTTGTATAAAGCTAAAAAAAATAATATACAAATTATTTCTATCGAGTCTACGTCCCCTGGTGCATCCATCGATACCCTTAAGGATTTTCAGTCTGCTGCTACTGGCTCCACCACAATATTTTCCAACCCCTCGAACTCCATTGTCCTTTTTCGTGAGAACCTAGTTTTAAGGCGGGTGCAGCTGGAGTAAGTAGGTGGGGTCGAAGGCGATCGGGGCGTCCCGACGACTCGTTCCGCGGCCCTGCCACAAGGGGTGCAGGCGACTCCGTCATGGAATCGACTGATTCGACCTCTAACGCTGAAAACCTGTCTGGCTATCTATAGCTATAGTATCAGGGGTTGAAACGTGGTTCCAGGAGACACCATACTCTATCCACGTAAATGTACTAGAAAGACGCGGTATTTCTTTCCAAGACATACCTCGCACAAGAAGCGTTTACCTATATTCGCATACCACATATGATCGTGTGGATCGTGTGGGACGTATTGCGAAAACGTCACGTAGTAAAGTGGCGTCTGCAGTTTTCTTTGGATATATACGTATATGTATGTACATATATAACGTGGAAACTTTGTACGTGCGTTACGAACCCAGAAAAGTTCCCAGAGTGCCTATAAGTATGGAGTACTCAAAGTGAAGGGTTGAAGCCGTGAGATGCTGGAGTTCTTTTTTTTCCAAGTATCTGTATACGCTTACATGCGTTTGTATACATGCATACGGGATATCGGTATGGCTGGGCAAATATTTAATACGGCGGACTCGAAGCTCACTTCGTGCTTATATGATAATTAGTTTACGGACGGGTCATCATGCCGTGTAATTAAGGTTATTGTCCCGGCGTTTTGAAGGCTGATATTAATGGGTCTCATGCCGCCGTGTATGTTAAACGTGCAGCCGCTTTGAGACGCAGCCATAACTTACTGTTTAATCTTTCAAGTGCTACACATCGAAACGGCGTGACGGCGGGATGGCGCGTTGTTGGAAATTTTGTCGCCCTGATTAAATTTCAGAGGGAAGACACGCACTTACTTTACTAAATATTGTACCTCTAATTTTTTTACCACTAGCAACCCTACCTTATTGTACGGGAAATTTTTTAAAATTCGAGGAAGTATATACGTGCCTCGCGTGGTACTGTTCGTAAAAGGTTAATGATAATTTATACGCGAACGTAAAGTCCTTGCGAAATTTTGTTGTCTGGAATATTCGGCAGTTCAATGTATAATCTGTTTTATCGATTGCTCGACGTGGAGAACGCGGAAGAGTCGTAACACGTGTCCTCTTTTGTGAATGAGCCTTTATCAACTCGGCGTTAAGACTGCCGGATGCTGCCTTCGGTCCATTACGATAACTGCGATTCTGACAATGAAGTTGGGACTTATGAAAATCAATGACGATTTTTATATGATCTTTTATGACGTTGTTTTCAGACGTGATTTTTTAAGACACCCTATATATGCTAAATAGTTGTTCAAGATTGTGTACAGACAGTTCGTTAGGTATTTCTAATCTACTCGTTCACTGATAATTCTTTAATTATGATTCTCTATCGAATTTCTTGGTTTTAGGTAAAGCTTTATTTTTTGTTCTCACGAGTCACGTTGTAGAATTGGAAATGAGGACTAAACTTAAATTCTCATATCTAAATGACATTCTATCATGCTATCTTGGTTCTAAGGTTCGGATTTTTCGAATAAAAATTGAGAAAGTTAAAAGTATACTGGACGAGTCTGATGTGGATATACATAATGGTACAGCCAGCCTCCATTACTATTCAGAAGTCTAGAACGATACGGCATCGTGGATCTAGCACAGTTCTCAAACTATTGATCTTGGTTGCTATGCCCTGAAAACGTTAACGTAATAGTACGATTGTGTTTCTGCTGTGTTTTTATAGGTCAGTTCCTCGTATACTCAACGCTTTCTAGTTTCCATACGTGTACTGCACACCTATGCTGACTGCTTGATACGATACAATTCCTATGGTCAGTTCAGCGTAACCACATATGTATACCTACATGTAGTGTATGTGTGTATATGCTCTTTGAGCAGTCCTAAGCATGAGATTAAAATCGGTATGCGTAAGTCATGTGTATTATTGCTGATTAGACCAGGTGAAATAGGCATGGAGCATATGTGTAGACATTTCGTGAAATGACGAGGGAACGTGAAGATAACACACGTGAAGCTTAAAGAAACAATTGACTGGCCATACGTTACGATTATCTTTGCTATGGAAATTAACGATCTTGAACCATTTGCTTTTGTTCTTATCAGTTTTAATTTTGTTTTTTGCTGATAGCACATGTGTCATATTGTTGATATATCGTATATGTATATACATACTATATTGCGATATCTAGCTAGGTCTGATTAAACGTTATGCTAATTAAGCATGCTTTTAAAACATTTATTTCACCGTTTTTGATTACTTATCGATTCTGGATTTTGATAAGAACTATCTGTGGACATGAGAAGTTTATGGAAAATTAAAAAAAATTAATTACAAATGAGAAAATTTATGTGTTTGACTAATAGTAACTGTACATTGACTGAGTATAATGTTTTGCTAAATAAAATATATTTTTTTTTCTTTTTACAGATGTGGAAAAGATGTCGATTGCAATGGCGGCCCGGTGATCAATGGGTAAGCCAAAATTACCACTGACTTTAATTTCCAGACGACTTGATTCGAAAGTCCGATGATTTGTATGCAGGTCCAGCCAGCCTCCTAATGAGGGACCGCCCTCTTCGTAAAATTGCTTTACAAAAGTTCCATCTTTTTTATATTGGATTCTTGAGCTTGAGATACTCGATCCCAGCCAAATGCCTTGTATCGGTCGTGTCAATTATCGGATGCAAATTTCTGAAAAAATCCTTCTTAAGATCCTTGTCTGTTGCTTCGCATCAACGCGTAGAATAAAAAGTATTGTTAATATAAAAAATATATATAAAATATAATATATAAATATAAAATATAAAATAATTTTGTAAATTTCTCGCGAATTTATTTATTCTTGATTGTAGTTAAAAAAATCTTTAAATATAATCATAACATACTTCGTTGATTCGCGTCGCGGAAATTTGCGTAGGGGAAAATGTGACGAAGAAACATTCATATAATAGTATAAGAATACCATAGGACCACGACCCTATTTTTTATACCGCTACTTTTCCCCGAGAAGGTTTCACTGTTAGATTTTACCGCAGAAGTTTGACCATCCGCAAAAATCAGATTGACCGTTTCGAACGCGTATCTTCCTCTCGTATATTCATCCGACGCATTATTATTCGGAATATTCGCATATTCCTACCATGCTGTGCGAAAATCGTTATTTTCGTGAAAAAAAATATTTCATTTAAAATATCATTGGGAAATATTGCGCAAATATATTTGAAGTATGGTGAACCAATTGCATTGAGTCCTTGTATGCGGTATATATATGTCTTTCAAAGTTAAAGGTACTATATAACAGCAAACATTAATATATAGCGGATATATAATGTAATGAAATAGTATATCTATACTTGCAAAATAGTAATTCGCAAACAGCAGGAGCTCGAATGAAGAAGGGTGGATGGTTCGCTTAAAACGTCTGCAAAGAAGGCCGACATAGATCCGTATCTTAATTTAATTCACCCTTAATGACTGAGCTC